TCCTCACCTTCAAAGCCCTCCATGGCCTTACTCCCCCCTACCTCTGCGACCTCCTAACCCCCTAACATTCTGCCTGCTCAGCGGGCTCCGGCCTGCTGCACGTCCCCTACCTTGCTCGCCCCACCATTGGCGGGCGGGCATTCTACCACTCTGGCACCACTCTCTGGAACTCCATCCTGCAGTCCCTTCACCTCGCCCCCTCTCTTGCCTCCTTCAAGACCCATCTCAAGGCCCTCCTCTTCAACCGTGCTTTCGATCTCCTTGCTTCTCCTCCTGATCTTCACCTGCCCTGATCCCGACGCCAGGCTCGGGTCCAAAACTCTGTCTGTCCAGCTCCTTGGGATGTCCTCCCGACGTGAAAGGTGTTATACAAATGTAATTTTGTTGTTGTTCTTGAAAGATCACTTATTAGACATAAATAAGAAGCAACATAAATAAAATTATTGTGGAAGATTGAAACATTTTGCAAAACTAAAGACTGCTGATAATCAATTGCAAGATTCACATTGCAAATCTGAGTACAGTGGAAACTATATAAGTGGAGATTAAAGCCATTTACATCATGCAGAGCAAATTTACATTAAAAACACAACCTTGCAAACTGTTACCACTGTTACATTTTCAAAAAAAATTACAATATTGATTAAATTAAAGTATTAATAGTTCCCAACAAGATAGTAAAGTTCAAAAACTGTAAACACAAAGAGGTGAGATTGCTCTTGTTACTTGGTAGAGGTTTTGACAGCAAGTGCTGCTTTTGGGAATTTTCCATTGTAAACACACATCATTAAAATAATTGAATGGCAGTGGATGGATTTTCTGCATAGAGCTTGGTTTCCTTCTCACCTATTCAATTTACACAACTGGTATTTTTCACGCAGCAAGCTCCCCCAAACAGCCCATAAATGAATGGCCAAATCTTATCTGGAGATTGCCTGGCCATGAAATCAGGAGACACTCCCTTTTGCAATGGGATCTTTAATGTCCACCGTAACAATGAAACGAGAACTCGTTTCAGCATCCCATCCAAAGGACGGCACCTCTGAAAATATAGTGCTCTGCATTGGAATGTCGTGTCAGGCTAGACTAGCAGCTCAAAGTGGGTCTTGGAACTACAATCTCTGGTTTAGAGACAAGAGTGCTTCCAACTGAGCCAGGCTAGTACTGGTTGTTGTACAGAATACCGTGTAATAAAGCTTTTCCATGCCACTATATAACATACAACTTAGTTAAATGGATATCCTGTAAAGTGAATCTGAAAAAATACTTCTGCTTCTAAAACCCTCATTGACAGCCTCAACCCAAAACCCTCATATATGCATTTGTAACATTCAGGCTCGACTATGCAAACTCTTTGCTCGTCGGCCTCCCCAACGCCTCCCTCCATAGGCTGCAGATCATCCAGAACTCTGCAGCCCGTGTCCTCCCCGACACCAGGCTCCATGACCCTATCACCCCCATCTCCTTACCTGAATCTACTGGCCTCCCATCACACAAAGAATATAGTTCAAGATCCTGGTCCTCACCCTCAAAGCCCTCCATGGCCTTGCTCCCTCCAACTCTGTAACCTCCTTATACCCTACCAACCAGCCCACTCCCTCCACTCAGCGCGCTCAGGCCTGCTTCACATACCTTACCTCGCCCGTCCTACCATTGGCAGGTGAGCCTTCAGCCATTCTGCCCCCACCCTCTGGAACTCCATCCCGAAGATCCTCCACCTTGCCCCTTCCCTTGCTTCCTTCAAGACCCATCTTAAGACCCTCCTATTCGACCATGCCTCGAATCATGCTCCTTCCCCCTCCACCCTCCACTCTCCCCTATCCTGACTCCCAGCTCGTGTCCAAAACACTATCTGTCCAGTACCTTGGGACGTCCTCCTGACATGAAAGGCGCTATACAAATGTAATTTTGGTGTTGTTGTAAAAGCAATTTTGACCCTCTTTCAAAATATTTTTTTCTTCCCTTTTTTTAGAAAATGCAAAATAAATGAACAACAACAAAAGCAAATTACATGTATACAGCACCTTTCACATTAAAAGGGCATGAGTCAAGCAGGAAGACCTCTGTCTTGTTAATGGTCAGCTGGAGAAAGTTGGCTTTCTCAGAACACTGAACAAATGTGAATGGAAACAATTTGGAAGCATAAAATCCATTCCATTCACTACGAAAGAGCAAATAAGCCTGTCTGAAAATGGTGTGAAAAGGAGCGTGTCTCTTGAGAAGTCAAACCTATCTATCTGGAGCATGAAAACAGCACATGTTGGGGATCTTAACCTGTGCAGTGACAAGGTATAGGTCTTCTTGGAAACAAATTGATGTTAGCAAGTAATCGGTTTGTTTTAGTATAATGAACAAAAATCAGAAATCATGGTTTCTGACCATGGTGTTGTACAGAACGTCTGATAATCTCTGTCTTTACTTACTCCTAAATCTCTTCAATCCCTTTTCTAAGCAAATCATTAAGCAGCTATTTAGGGAAGAAGTTAATTGGCAGATTAAATGTCTTTGCTGGGGGTCTGTTCACTTACCAACTATGCTGGTTATCTGCGTGGCAATTATTCACAGGCCCGCTTATCCCCATTATGTGTAAATAGATGCAGATAATAGAATAAAGCAAAATAATCTAGTTATGCACAAGGTTACCAGGGATATGATTTGCAAGTAACCTCACACGCATATGCAGGACTAAGTTTTTGTTTGCAATGAGAGATAAGTATTTAGTACTTAGTATTTAGAGACTTAAATACTTTAAGTATTTAGAGACTGACACAGACATAAAAGAATAGAACATCAAAAGTGAGAGAGTCTCAGAGAAAGAGAAAAAAGAGAAAATCAGAGTGAGAGAGGCAGAGGGAGAGAAGGGCTGGCACACTGTGATATAGTAAAAGCATAACCTCTGATGGAATATTTTTCGTCAGCACACTAACCAATTTGCATCTTGTGTGATGACCAGTAATGCACATAGTTTGCATATCCACATTGGGACTGGTCCCAATTAGTGCATATACTGTATTTGTCTCTCGATGTCCTGTGAATGGGTAGTCAGCATTTTCCAATCTCTAGTCTCTCTTGAAGTTTGTAAATGTTCTTTTATCAATCCATTTTTGTATCCTCTAACTTTCATTACTCTCACCCCGTCTATCCTCAAAAAAAATATTTGGTCACTCAGATCACGACTGTTTGTGGGATGCTACTGTTTACAACTGGCTGCCCCATTTTGCCCACAAAATACACAGTCAATCCACTTTACAATATATTCTGTGAAGTGCTTTGAGAAGTCTCAACGATGTGATAAGGCGCTATATCAAATGCAAGCATTCTTATTCTTATTATGAAATTAATTCCTTGCAGGATTTTTTTTCTATATGTACTCGCTTACATTCATCTACATTAAAATTCATCTGCCATTCCTCAGTCTAAATGAATGCTATCAATCTTACCTATATTTGTCCCAACCCTAGTGAGATGAAACCCACAATAACAGACTGGACTTGTCTATACATACAAGCTTACATACTTCATTTATAAATCCTAAAAAGGATCTTATAGACACATGATACTAGTTCAACAACAACAACTTGCATTTGCATTTACACAGTGCCCTTCACACGAGGCAGCATCTTGGAGTGTTTAAATGAAGCACATGGAGTTCTCCCAGGATCATCATGGCCACCATTTCATTTACTCACATTCACCTCCAAAAAATTCTAATAATTCATTCCTCTCATATTGCTGTTTGTGGCTTGTTGCTGTTGCTGAATAGCTTCTATTATTTCCATATAATAGTTACTTGTATGAAATAGGTGAGACATTTTGAGGTCAGATATCAAATACAACTATTATTTTTTAAAATTGACAATTTCCTTAAGTACAATTTTCTACAGTGCAGCTCCCAGTGAGACACCTCTGAACATACGATGATGATAACCATTTCTACAATTAAATATTTTGCTGGGAGCAGGGTTCGAATCCAACCCAGATTAACACGTTGAAAATCTTGTCTGTCTGTTAGTTTAACTGGTGACAGGTCGAAAACATTTGGTCAATCTCATCCCGGTTCTCTATGGATGTGAAGGTACTGCACAAAACTGTCCATGATTCACCCAATCAGTCATTGAATTGTTATTCTCTGTCATAGTAGAAGGGATGGTGTGGGGAATGGAAAAATTGACATTGGTTCCATTGTGTTGCTTTTCTAATTGGGGTTAAGACTCATTGCTTAGAGTAAAAAAAAAGGTAGGAGCTTTCTCGGCGTTTTGCCAGTTTCAAACCTGATGTGGGAGACACACTAGGAGCCTGTAAGCAAAAAACAATAAAGTCTCATCTTGATAAGCACACAAAAGACTCTCAATCTGAGAGCTACAATATCCATGGTTACCAAATAAAGAATAATAATCCTTATGTATGATTTGAAATTATATTTGAAATTCAATGAAAATGATTCATTGTTTGTCTGTAAAAGGATTGTTATTGAAAGCACTTGATGTCACATTGTAGCTACGGAGTCCCATAGAGTATTGTTTGGAGCACTTGCCTCACAAACGAGAGGACACAGGTGCAATTCACGTGCAGGGCGAAACAACAACAACAACAAGATTCCATTTATAGAGCGCCTTTCACGTCGGGAGGACGTCCCAAGGCGCTGAAACCTTAGGCAAGTTTCCTTACTCCACACACCTCTGTTTACCCAGTAAATAAGAACCCATTTTTTGGTTGATTGGCAGATCGCTTTCCAGAAAAAAATCTCAAAACAAAATTCAGGTCACTCAATCCATCATTGTTTGTGGGGCATTTGTGCGCAATTGGCTACCCCAGTCAATCCACTTCACAATATCTTCTGTGAAGCGCTTTGAGACATCTCAACGACGTAATAAGGCACTATATCAAATGCAAGGATTATTATTATTATTGTTGTTGTGGAACATTTCTGTTATAACATTGGCCTTATGGTCCAAGAGTTATCCAGCAACAACAACATCTCTTCAGAAAGTACTGTGATAGGTCATAGTATTTGAGACTGAAAATACTTGTAAAATAGGATGTTTACTTTTGAAACAAACCATTTGTGATGTAAACACTTAATGCATGTCCTAGGTTCAGAAGATCAAAGTGTTGTGGGTATTTTACTAATACGCCTGCACAGAACCCAACTTTTCAGCAACCTTGTGTTTTGAGAGTGCTGACTGAAAGGTCATGAAATAGCTTCACAAGTTTGTTGACATCTTGAATGGCCTTCAGGTTATGGATGGAACGACACCCGTACAGATGAAGCATCGTCAGACTAGAAACAAGGGGAGAAAAGGGCATATGTACAATATACTAATATATACTGCATATCGGTTATGAGCTGAAGCTTACAGGGAAGAGTAGAAAACATAGGCTAGACTAGTGCCAGCCAAACTACAGCCTGCGGGTCACCAAGAAGTGGCCCAATGAACATTCGCATTAGTCTAGGTCAGTCCGTGTTCAATCCGTGTTCAAGTGTGTTTTCAGGTTTTTCTTGTTTGAATATTTCTTGATTCATGGCACAACCCAATAATTATTCAATTACGAAAATTGACTTGATTGGTCAACCAAAAAGATTGACCACCACTGGGCTAGACAATCTAATGACTTCTGTATTTGTCTACAAAATCAGTCATTAGGCGTGACGGGCATTACTGGTGAAATGCTTTGAAACGCATCAGATCCCTGACAGAGAAGAATGACAAATACCGGCAGGGGAGGGTGTGTGGGGTGGGGGAGTGAAGGGGGAGAATCAGAAATCACACTGATGATTGAGTTTATACATTAGGTCAGGTTGCATTTTTCAACCATGAGTATATCTCAAGTTCCCAACTTTCGTCCATGGTTTTAAAATAACCCCAATTTGATGAGATACCCCAAACTTACTGTTTGCAGTTTTTACACAGCTTTTTGATGACGTCTTCAGTCAGATATTTGCAGAAACTGAGTTTCACACATGTGAGGTGTCTGTTGCAATAGGTGGAGAGCAAACAAATCCTAATTTTGGGGGAAATGATAACAATGTGTTAATGCCAAATAGTCTTTCACTTTGCATTTGCTCTCCAAGAGTCTCCAAAAATGTACATGGATACAGAGAACTAGCAGTGAGATACAAGCCAGTAACTGACCAAGACATTCTACACACATGAAAATCCACAAAAGCAAAGCTGAGCAGAGTTTAATAATAATAATAATCCTTGCATTTGATATAGCGCTTTTCACGTCGGGAGGACGTCCCAAAGCGCTTCACAGAACACACTGTAAAGTGAATTGACTGTATATTTGTGGGCGAACGCGGCAGCCAATTGCGCACAGCAATGTCCCACAAACAGTCGTAGATTGAAAATGACCAATTTATTATTGTTTTTGTTTTTTGGAGGGATTATTATTAGGCGTGTGGAGTAAGGAAACTTGCCCAAGGTTTCGCCCTGCCTGGAATTGAACTCAGGTCTCTCGCTTGCAAAGCGAGTGCTCTAACCACTGAGCTACAGGACTCCACGTTTGAGTTTCAATCACGTTTTATAGGTTACAATATCATAGTTATAGCTAGATTAGATTTGAGCTTCAAAGAGTCATAAAAGTCCGTTCAAAAGTCTTTATTAAGAACATATTGTAACAATGTGTTTCCAATCTAAAACTGTAGTAAATATTATATTGTGATGTTGGACATCAGCCTGGCTTAGTTGGTTGCATTCTCACCTCTGAGTCAGAAGGTTGGGGGCTCAAGCCCCACATTGGGACTTTGAACTCTCATAGTCTACAGTGACACATTGGAGGTGTGTTGCTTGTTGGAGGTACTGTCTTTCAAATGAGATGTCTGCCTATTCAGTGGAAGTTAATGATCCCATAGTGATACTTAAAAAGAGAAGGGAATTTCTCCTGGTGTCCTGGCAAATAATTCCCTAAATTGGTCCAAAATTGTTCATTCACTTCATGGCTGTTTGTGGGACATTGTTATGCATAAATCGTCTGCGGCATTCGTCTATAAGATACAGTCACTATTCATTACCTTATATCTTTGAGAAGTTTCTGATATGAAAGGCACTATATCAAATGCAAAGATTATTACTTATTTTATTAAGTTTTGCAGCACTTCCTGCTACCCTTTTACCTATGTCACTGCAACTTTAGATTTCCTGGTCTGCATTAAGCTCATGGATCCCAAGGATATTACTGTATTAATTCATGGAGTCACACATAGATATGTAACACATCTTTTTGCACACCTTCAACTGCAAAAATCAGGCTTTCATTCTAGAGACAGTAATAAATGTGTGTAATTGAAATGTAGCCCCACTGAGTGACATCCAATGAATAGAACAGAACCCTGTACTTCCTGGTGCCTGTGACATCCCATAGAAACACTCCAGGTGAGAGATTCCATCTTACACAAATGGATTCTGATTAAACAAATTAATTGAAACTATAACCAATTACACAATGTGCATCAGGTTACATCAGGGATTTAAGCTGAACATGGATATGGAAATCAGCCACTCGTACGGAATTAGCTGTAACCATGTAATATAAATCATTTATTTAAGTATTTGCTATATCCCGTGGATCAACATACATTACTTCTCTAACTGCTGTATTTGTGAAGCAATTTTTTTAATTGAAGCAACTCCTTAAAAAAAATCTAGATTTTTCTTTAAAAAGAAATATGGGACGCATTAAACACCGCATTGTGGCCACATAACCCATTCACTGCAATTAGAATCATAGAAGTTTACAGTACAGAAGGAGGCCATTCAGCCCATTGAGTCTGCACTGGCTCTCAGAGCAAGTTGTCCTTTCAATCCCACTGCCATGCCCTATCTCCATACCCCATCCCCACAGTCCTTCAAGCCTCTAATTTTCATATACCTGTCTGCCTCCCTCTTGGTACCCACAATGGACTATGCCTCTATCATCTTACATGGCAAGGCATTCACCGTCAGAACAACTCCCTGCGTGGAAACAATTTTCCTAACCTCTCATTTCACTCTTCTTGTGGCTATCCTATATCTATGTTCCCATTTGGGTTATATGTTCCCTTATTAAGTTATAACGTCTAAGACAATGAATGCATTCATTGAATATCCTAAGCTACATAACTGTAGTATAAGAGCAAGAATAGTATCAGTGATAATTTCAATAAAACTGGAATCTCAACAAACTTTCGTGTCACTCAAAATGTTCTGAGCAGAACTCCAAAGCACACATCACACACTCACGCTTGTTGTACTGAAGTGCTGATCCAAGCATCAATAATTCTTGACATATCCTGCCTTTCACAGGACTTTGACGTTCTCTTTATACTGACTGATTAGATATTGATCCTGCATCAAGATTTTCAGTGCACTGGTGCCAAAGGACAATACAAAGCAGGAACACCAAGAGTGAGTGGGCAATGAATGGACTGATGATTGGAGACAGAAACGCTCAGAGTAAATGTGACTCAACAACGGGTTCTCTTGCCCAGCTTTTTTGGTGCTTTTGCAATGTATTTTATCAGTTCTCAGCCAGACTGCAAGTGGCAACCTGGAGATAAAAGTACGATTCTGGCTCAAATATATTCATATTCAAGAAAATGCACATCTGCCACAGGCTCTACCTGATAGGGCTTGAGGGTGTTTCATCACATGGATTACAGTAGCGTAGACTAGAGTATTGAAAGAAAGGAGCAAAATGGGAAAGAAAACAATGGAACAATTGTCCATCTTGAATTATATGAAACCCACATGGCAGTCTCAATACATGTTGTCTACTCACTCTGCGGATTCAGGTTATAATAAAAATAATCCATACATTTGATAAAGCACCTTTCATTTCCTGGGCCAATAATTCCTTCAAAATTAACTTGAAAAATAAATAATTTGGTCACTCAATGCACAACTGTTTGTGAGATATTACTGTGAACAATTGGCTGCCGCATTTCATCCACAAAATATACAGTCAATTCACTTTACAGTATATTATGTGAAGCACTTTAAGATGTCTCGAAGATGTGATAAGGCACTATACCAAATGCAAGCATTATTATGTCAGGAGGACATCTCAAAGAGCTTCACAGGATATTCTGTAAAGTGTAGTTAGTGATTTTATAGTAAATAATGTAGCAGCCAATTTGAGCAGAGCAATGTCCAATAAACAACCATGAACAACAACAAAATTGCATTTGTAAAGCACCTTTCACCATGGGAGGATATCCCAAGGTGCTGAACAGTCAGGGATCAGGACCTAAGCGTGGTGGGGCAGGGTTGGGATGAGGGAGGGCAGAGAACTAGGAAGGCGGCTGAAAGTACAGTCGAAAAGGAGGGTCTTGAGTCGTGCCTTGAAGGAGGCAAGGGAGGGAGCAAGGTGAAGGGATTGTGGGATGGAGTTCCAAAGGGTGGGGGCAGAGAGGCTGAAAGCCCGGCTACCAATGGAGACATGGAGCAAGCCGGAGCCTGCTGAATGGAGGGAGCGGACAGGTTGATAGGGAGTCAGAAGGTTAGAGAGGTAGGAGGGGGCAAGGCTTTGAAAGTGAGGACGAGGATTTTGAATTCTACCCTCTGAGGGATGGGGAGCCAATGGAGTCGGATGAGGGAGGGTATGATGGGGTCACGGAACCTGGTGCGGGAGAGGACACAAGCTGCAGATTTCCGTATGATCTGCAGTTTGTGGAGGAAAGAGATGGGAAGGCCAACAAGGAGGGAGTTTCTGCAGTCGAGCCTTGAGGTGACAAATGCGTGTATGAATGTTTTGGCGGGAGGCAGTGGTGGAGTTGGGCAATGTTGCGGAGGTGGAGAAGGCAGAGCGGGTCGTGGCACGACATGGGGGAGAAAAGACAGTTGTGGGTCGAACAAGACTCCCAGCTTCCTGACTGGCTTGGTGAGGTGGCGTGTGCAATTGTGGATACTGATGCTGCCAGTGCCTAAGGTGCTGAGGTGTTGGCGTGAGCCAATCAGGAGGGCCTCAGTCTTTCTTACATTCAGCTGTAGAAAGTTGGCTCTCATCCAGGACTTGATGTCTGACAGACATTCTGTCAAGATATCGTTGTCCTGGAATCGAGGGTGGAGGCAGAGAGGTAGAGTTGGGTGTCATCCGCAAACATGTGGAAGTTGACCTAATGTCTGCAGATGATATCACCAAGGGGGAGCATGTAGAGGTTGACGAAGAGGGGACCAAAGACAGAGCCCTGAGGAACACAGCAATAGACTGTGCGGGGGCTGGAAGAGAAACCGTTGGCGGAGACAAATTGGAGATGGTGTGAGATATAAGAACTGAACTATTCAAGGACAGAACCTGAAGTGAGTGACCAATTTTATCTAGGATATAGTTGCCCAGGAAACCAGGAGAAACCCCCTCTTCTTTCAAAAAGTGCCAAGGAATCTTTAACCCCCACGTGAATAGGCAGTCAAGAACTCGGTTTAATGTCTCATCAGAAGGATGGTCAAAAATACAACACTCCCCCGAATGCATTATAGTGTCAATCAAGACAATATGATTTTAAAGTCCTAACATGGAGCATTCTCAATATGTTATTTTTTCCTAACCTACTCAACTCTACCTTTTTTCCCCTTTGATTTTTTTTTTAAAATGTACTTTTTCATCTCTTTTCAGCAAGCGTAGTCTGTTTCGGAGTGGTGATAAGAGCAAGATTTGATTTAAAGTGTTCTTGTTGGCTGAATAAATAGCCCGAAACACTAGTTTTTCAGACAATGACTGAGTCACCCACCTGCTGCCTAAAAACACATCAAAACCAGCAGTGAGGCTTCAAGTGTCACTGCACCCTAACACTGCACAGCGCTTAGAGGTTTAAATTGTATTTTGAGGCGTTAAAGCAGATAATGGTAATACAATAATGAAGCTGAAGTTGTGTGTTTTCACTAGGTCAGTGATTGCTATAGCACTCGAATTAGCAGTAAAATAATCAGGTGAGGCTAGCCCCCTCCCTCATTCGTATAACCTCTTTACGTTCATCATTGCTAGAACCTACTGTGTGGACTGCTGTGCCAGCCTTTTGGTGGATT